CCCCTGAAGCTCTTCTGGAAGCTCGCCCCAGGTCAAAGCTTTGAGGGAAAATAGGAAAGTAAAAGAAGCGGGAGACTCACCCTGTGCACGCTGCTGCTTTGATTCTCCTCTTCGATCTGCCTGCTTCCCCACATTGTCCTCAGGTAGATGTTTTTTGCGTTTTATCCAGAATTTTTAGTCGTATGCAGCAGGAGAGAGGACTGCAATGGCCTTACTCCATCGTGGCCGGCACCAGAAGGCTGCGATAATGTTCTTCATGGCAACTTTTTTTTTTCTGATCTGGGATTAGAAAATGTGCATCGTGTTAATTATCATGTCCTTTAATTTCGAGCACTTCCTGAGCATTTCGTTGTTTGGTTTGGGGCTGCTGTTTTTGCAGAGCCCGGGCTGGTTTTATAGAGTCTCTGTCAGTCGCTTGCTCTTTCTTGAATCCTTCTTTTCAGGCTTTCCGGCGAAACTGCTTTAGCCAGAGCTACTGAGGACCTCTGTTTTCCTAAATCCAGTGGATATTCATTTATCTTCATCCTTATTCCCCACCCTGTTTGATTCTTCCCTTCTTGAAGCACTTTCTCTGCTTGGCTCCTGGGAGACAGCTCCCTCCTGCCTCCCTGGCCGCCCCCACCCTGTCCTCTTTACTGTCCGAGGCCAGGCCACTGGACCCTAGATGTCCTCAGGCCTGAGTCTATCTGCTCTAAGTCCCTTCATGATCATACGCATCCCAACAACTTTCTCTTCCATCCGTTCAGTGACTCCCAGTTATGTTGCCGGCCAGACAGTTTCACGTATGTCTAATGGACACCTCTAACAACATGTCCAAAATAAAATTCCTAATTTCCTCCCAAACCCCAAACTGTTCCTCCATAATCGTCTCCATCTCAGTAAATGGATACTTCATTCTTGCAGCTTTTCGGGCTAAACATCTCGGCGTCTTCCTTCACTCTTCTCCTGGTCTCATATCCTAGTGTACCAGCCTTTCTTAAATGTGTCCCTGATCCGACCACTTCTCACCCTCTTCCCCGCCACCCGCTTAGCGCAGGCCACCCACATCTTTCACCTCCTTTAATATTTCTTGTGCTCTTGCCCTCTGCAGTCTATCCTTCGTATCAGCCCAAATGATCCTTGCGTGACTTGGTCAGATCATGCCGTTCCTCTGGTCAAGCCCAGTGGTTTCCCACACCCGTAAACACAGTACAGGGGCCTGCAAGTTCCTTCCCCCCACTCAGCACGTCCTCACACTGGCTGATCCTAGAGCACATCTGGCCTTTTCTTCCTCAGGGCCTTTGCACTTGCTGTTCCTTTGGTGTGGAATGCTTTTCCAGGTATTCATATGCCTTGTTTTCTGAACTTCATTCAGTTCTCTGCTCAAGTGTCACCCTGTCGAAAGGACTTTTGTGACTTGCTTGTTTAAAACATCATGACTCTGTGCCTGTTACGTTCCCTGTCCTTTTTACCGGGCTTTATTTTTCTCCCCTGCGTGAACCCCCCGGCATGCTATGCTGGATTTGGTGCTTACTGACAGTCTGTCTTAGTAGAAGGCAAACTCCACTAGGGGAGAAATCATGGCCGTCTAGAACAGTTTCTGGTACCTAGCGGGTGCCCCGTAGGGATTTGTAGAATTGATGGCTCAGTAAAAATGCTTTTGAATATGTAGATTTTCTCTCCGTCCTCAGAGCCGGCTCCTTGGAGCCATCCAAATGCTCCTCTCCCAGTCGCGGCGCAGGGCAGGGGCCTCACACTCCCAGGCCAGGTCATGTGGGCCGCCAGCCTGGAGTCCCCCATAGCCCTGTCCCCACAGTGAGCACCTTGATTGACAACCCTGGTGGAGATCCCCCTGCCAGCATCTCCCACGACTCCAAATGCCAGGCCCGGAGAAGCATCTATCAGTCACCTGCTCTCGCGGTGCGGAGGAGGTCGCTGGCGGCAGAGCCTGCTTCCCGGAATGTCATCCAGGCAGCCGGTTCTCCGTCACTCTGGGTGATTCAGTGCGAGAATCCATCCCTCAGCCTGCCGGCAGTGAGGCAGGAGACCCGGCCGCCTTGGCTCCATCCCTCTGCCCCTTCTGGCGCTCCCAGAGTCTGATGTCAGAGCTCATTAAAGGCGAGGAAGCCTGATCTCTGCCCCAAGGTTGGCGACAGCAGGGAGCCCCCGGCCAGGGCTGGGCAGTGGCTGTCATGCTCAACAGTGATGGGCAGATGCAACTGCTGCCCAGAAGCTGAAGCAGAGCAGATAGCTGGCGGGGTGACAGCCCCAGAACTTGGCCTCGGCCCGGAGGGCTCTCTTACGGGAAGCACCCACGTACAGTCCTGGCACCCCGTCTGCTGTCTGTGTGGCCGTCTGCGTCCTGCAAGGTGGTTTCATAAAACTTTCATTGGATGTCCCCACACTCACTGGTTTTTTCCTTAAAAAATTTTTACTTACCGTAAAATTTACTCCAAAAGGAGTATATTTGTGGGAATTTTGCAAATGCGTACAGGCGTGCACCCGCCTCCACGATCAAGATATAGCACAGTTCCACCACTGCCCCAGTTCTGCCCTGCCCCCGTGGCGACCCTTCTCACCATCGCTGGCTGCTGGCAGCCACGGATCTGGTTTTGGTCCGTATGATTCTGCCTTTTCCGGACTGTCACAGGAATGGACTCACACGGTGTAGAGTCTCTTGTGTTGGGATTTGTAACTGTTACCGTGTGCCTCAGTCACGTGTCCCTTTTTGTAGCCGGGCTGTATTCCACTGAGCGGAGATTTGTTTGTCCCTTCCCTAGGTGGAGGATATTTGGGTTGTTTCTAGTTCGGGGCCATTATGAATAAAGCTACTATAAACATGTGCATAAAGGTTTTTTGTGTGAACATAACTTTTCATTTCTCTTGGGTGAGTACCTAAGAGTGGAGATGCTGGATTGTGTGGTAGGTGTATGTTGAACTTTATTTTATTTTTTTGAGACAGGTTCTTGCTCTGTTGCCCAGGCTGGAGTGCAGTGGCAACATCATAGCTCACAGCAACCTCCGACTCCTGGGCTCAGCCGATCCTCCCACCTCGGCCTCCCAGAGTGCTAGGATTACAGGCGTGAGCCACTGTGCCGGCCTGTATGTTGAACCTTTTAAGAAACTGCCACACTGTTTTCCAAAGCAGTTGTACTATTTTCCATTCCCACCAACAGTGTATGAGATTTCCGGTCTCTCTGCCTCCTTGCCAGCCGGTCGCTAACTAGTCGTTCCAGCAGGTGTACAGTGATGTCTCATGGTGGTTTGAACGGGCATTTTCCTAAAGACTAATGGGGCCGGGCACCTTGGCACATGCTCATTCGCCATCCGTGTAGCTTCTTTGGCGAGGCAACTATTCAAATCTTTTGCCCGCTTAAAATATTGGGTTTTTTCTCTTCTCTTTATTATTAGGTTCTGAGAATTCTTTATATATTTTGGATACAAGTTCTTATCAGATAAATGGATCGTTTGTAAATATTTTTTCCCAGTTTATGACGTGTCTTTTCATCCTCTCCATAGTGTCTTTTGAAGAAAAGTTTGCACGTTCGATGAAGTCTGGTTTATCCATTTGTTCTTTTGTAGATCAGGCTTTTGACGTTATACCTAAGAAAACTCTGCCCAAAGTCACAGTGATTTTCTTCTATGTTTTCTTTTAGCAGTGTTATAGTTCTAGATTTTACGTTTAGGTCTCTGATGCATTTTAAGTTAATTTTTATAAAGCGTGAGGTAGGGACTAAGATCCTCTCTCTCTCTCTCTCTCTTTCTTTTTTTGCATATAGACATCCAGTCGTTCCCCACTATTTGTTGTAAAGGCTGTCCTTCCTCCATTTAATTCTTTTTGGACCTTGTCAAAGATCAAGTGACCTTTTCTGTGGGTCTATTTCTGGACTCTGCGTTCTGGTCCATGAATCTATGTGAGTGTCCTTTGGCCAATACCTCACTGTCTTGGCTGCTGTAGTTTTATAGCACGTTGGGACATCAGGTAGTGAGCACTCCTGCCTCTGAGCGTGCGGTTGTTGTTCTCCCCGCTTTCTAGTTGAGGAAACTGACCATCACCATGGTTAGTGTCTCCCTGGTGGCTTCCCTTCCATGGTAAGTTAGATGCTCAGCTTATTGTCAAAACCCACATCTTCTCATGGCTGCTGCTCAGAATATACCCTTTAGAGTCAGGTTTGGGTTTAACTCTTAGCCCTGCTTTTGTTAGTAATATAGCCCTGGGAATGTAACTTTAACCTCTGTCTTCCTCAGTTTCTCTATCTGTAAAATGGGCGTAGTGGTGGTCCCTGCCTTACAGATTGTGGCAAACATGAAACCATATGAAACTGCTCATATCTGACCATTTTTCACTGACGCATGTGGCGATTTTACATAGTTCAACTTAACATGCAAATGTTGCTTGGAGTACTGGATAGAGGGTATGCACTCCAGAAACGCTACCTATAGCTACCATCATCATCATCACCGTCACTATTATAACGACTGCTGCTGTTGCTATGTTGTTATTATTGAAGGTGGTGGCTCTGAGGCTGATGCTTCTCATGTTCCTTGTGCCCTCTAATCAGGCCGCCAGCGTCTACCAAGGACTTCCTAAGTGGCAAGCTTCTTGCTGAGTCTGCAAAGAGTGATCTGACGCAGGCTCTGGACCTGTGGAGCAGAAGTGCCCACCTGGTGTGACAGACTTAGGCACAGAGTGCAGTGGGACAAGCTTGGCGGGCAGGAGGGGTGGGCAGGGATTCCTGGACATGGCCCGTTAGGTGAGCCTTGTGGTATGATCGGGAATTTGGGATGGGGAAGACGTTCCAGGCGCAGGTGACAGCTTATGCCAAGGCTTGGGAGGGGTGATGGACACGCTTCAGGAGGGGGCTGAGATCTGACTCTAGGGTGGAGGGTGGGTAGCGGCTCATGGCGGCCTAGACGGGGTTCACAAATAACCCCTCTGCCTTCCCTCCACAGTTTGCCCTGCTTTGCCGGGCGTCCTTGGGGACCCGCGTCTAGAAGACATCTCCGCCTCTGCCTCCACCATGGACTCAAGAACCATCATCATCGACCATGGCTCTGGCTTTCTGAAGGCCGGCCTGTCCGGCTGGAACGAGCCCCAGTTGATCGTCCCGAGCATCGTGAACTACATTCCGTGCAGGGAGAACCCCGGCCCCAGCTATGCCCGGAGGCGCGTGGGCCTGGGCATCGACTTTCGCCACCCCGACACCTTTAGCTACCCCATACAGCGAGGCCGCATCCTCAACTGGGAAGGCGTGGAGCACATCTGGTCGTTTGTGATGGAGAAGCACCGACGGGAGCATAAGGACTGTGCCGTGATGATCACGGAGTCCCCCCGGAGGGAGCCAGTGGACCGGCAGAAGACACTGGAGGTGAGTCCTTCTGGGGGCCGCCCCCACCGGGAAGGGGGTGTCCGGGCGTGATTGGGCACCGGGAAGTCTGCCTTTTCAATAATTTGCCCCACAAATATTTCCTGAGTACCCATGCATGTCCAGCACGGTGCTGGGCGCAAGGAGCTCGTGCAGTTTTCCCTGAGGACAGAGAACAGCAACCACGGTGGTGGAAAGGGAGCTACCGGCAGGACACGGCGGCTGTGTGCTCACGGATTCCGCACGTGATCATAGATCCTGTTCCGGCCCTCAGACTTGACCGTGAAGAGGTTAACAAATAATTGCAGATAGTGACCAGTTCTAGAAACAAAATGACATGGGGTGATGGCGAACTGGTGGGGAGAGGGGAGCCTGTTGGAAGAGGGTTATCAGGGAGGGCTTCTCTGAGGAGGTGATTTCAGCCATTGAGGCTGGAGCCCAGTAGGAGGCGTGGCAAGAGGCCAGTAGGATGGTGAGGTCGGCAGGAGCCAGACTTGAAGGCCCGGTGAGCTGTGGGGAGTGCTTTGGTTCTACTCTAAATCAAGGGTTGGCAAGCTACAGCCAGTGAGCCACATGTGGCCCACCACCTGTTTTTGTAAATAAAGTTTTATTGAAACATAACCACGCCATTCATTTACATATTGTCCGTGGCTACTTTCACACTACAACAGCAGAGTTGAGTAGTTGTAACAGAGACTGTATGGCCTGTGAAGTCTAAAATATTTATTATTGTAGGTTTGCTAGATACAATATGTGATGACTAGTTAGATTCAAATTTTAGATAAACAGCACATCGTGTCTTAGTATAAGTATGTCCCCAGTATGCATGGGGCGTGCTTACACTAAAACGTGATTCGTTGTTTATCTGAAATTCAGATTTAACTGGGCATCCTATGCTTTTATTTGCTGAATTTGGCAGCCCTCACCGCCTAGCCCTGAACAGAAAACGCTTGCCGACCGCCGCCCTGAGTACACGGGCGGCTGCTGGGGCGTTTCGCCAGGGGAGTCGCCGCCGATGTTCTGTTTGAAAACCGGCACTATCGCTGCTGTTTGGGAAGTGGCTGGTGGGGGGACAATATTCTGAGAGCAGGAATGCAGGGAGCTTTCTCCCACTGAGGGGACAAGAGGGGCCTGAAGGGGCACGTGAGTGGCAAAGGTCGCAGAGGGCTGGGCTGCTCCCGCCTTTCTGCATCGGTGGGGTCAGAACCCTAGGGGGGCAGAAGAGCTGGGGAATGGGGGAGGGGCTCCGTAAAGATCTGGGGGTGATGGGCAGGGGGAGAAAATCCGCCCAGGGACTTTGCCAAACGCTGAATCTCGGAATTCCAGCTTTGTAGTGGTGTTTGGAAAGTTTTTATTATAAAAATTAATAAGGCTTTGCCTACTAGGCCGTCAGCACATTTTTCTTCCTATCTGCGCTTTTCGGAGGTGGTGGTGAATGTGCAGCACTTGTTTCTTTTCTAATCTGTTTTTTCTTCTTCTCACAAGGCAGTTTCAGGCTGCCAGCGTGACCCTCGGCCGTGCAGGTGCTCGCAGAGCCCGGTGCCCCAGCGCGAGGCTCTTCCCGCCACTCCACCAAAGCAGTCTCCCGAAAGGCCACTGCTGGACGAGCTCCTGAGGGCAAATCCAGCGCCTTTTCTAACCCTCCAGAGCTCCTTCCTTATCCCCGCTGCATAAGCTCCCCGGGCTCCAGGCCCGATGTCCCGGGGGCAGCTGAGAGCCCCCTGAGGATGTGGGTCTGTGCTGAGCTCCAGTTTGAGAGCTGAGCGGTTCCAGGAGAACCGAGCGCCTTCTCCCTTTTCGCAGATCATGTTCGAGTTGCTGGAGGTGCCCTCCATCCTCCTGGCCGACCAGCTGGAGATGTCCCTGTATGCCTCCGGCCTGCTGACCGGCGTGGTGCTCGATTCTGGCTACGGCTTGACCCGCGTGCAGCCTTTCCACCTGGGCCGCCCGCTGCCCGCCTGCGACAAGACGCTGGAGTTCGCCGGCCAGGACCTGTCCGCCTACCTCTTCAAGAGCCTCTTCAAGGAAGATTGCAACAGGCACAACCTGTTCCAGCTGGAAACGGTCACCACGACTCAGATGAACAAGTGCTACGTGCCACAGAATCTGGGGGAGGCCCTGGACTTCCGTCAGAGCCTGCCGAGCGGCTCGGATGCGAGCAATGTCTACCTGCTCCCAGACGGCACCCCCATGGAGCTGGCCCCCCTGGAGCGGCTGGCGCCCGAGGCCTTCTTCAGCCCTCAGGTGTTCGACCTGCCAGGGCCCAGCATCCCGCAGGCTGTCATAGACTCCATCAAATCCTGCGAGACCTCGCTGCACCCGCTGCTCTTATCCAACCTGGTAGCCTGCGGGGGCAACACCCTCTACCCCGGCTTCACAAACCGTCTGTACCAGGAGCTGATCGCGGATCATTTCTCCTCCATCAAGGTCGCGGTTTGGGCGAGTTCCAATAGAAACTTCAGCGTCTGGCTGGGAGCGTCCGTTTTGGCTCACCTGTCCACGTACAGGTCTGAGTGGGTGACCAGGGAGGAATATGATGAGAGTTTAAGGCTGTGACCTGCCAGCCCCCTCCTGGGAACGCACTTGGGTGGATGAATTTCAGCAAAGTGCTCTGGGCAGGGGTGGAATGGAGAGGAGTGGAGTTAGCTGGCTTTGGAATCTGAGGTCTGGAGGGATTTTTTTAGCTTTTTAGATTTTACCTTTTTTCAAGAGTGGGATCCAACCCAAGGGAAGATGGGATGTCATCCCTGGACACCCTGCAGGGAACAGTTTTTCCAGGGTGGTCTGTCACCGGGGTGGGAGTGGCCATCTGCCATCTCCATGCCTGACGGCCACTTATTTTTCCCTGGCATCTCCCTTGCATTGTCCCATTCTTCTTGATCAAGTAGGTTTTAACTGGGGTAACCCCTCTGCTAAGAGCCCCAATTAGTTTTGACCGGGGCACAGGGAGGGTGGGGATGGGAGAGCTGAGGGCTCCAGTCCTACGGGCCCTTTCCGGCCAGGGGCCGTTGCTGCCAGGAGCCTGGAAAACCCTTTCCACCTGGCCAGAGCCTTGTTTTACATATGCAAATAAACAACTTGTTTGGAACCAGTGCTGGCTCCTGTGATGGCCGGGCAGGGTGGGCAGCCCCCTGGGGAGACAGACCGGGCAGGGTGAGCGTGAGAGAGTCAGGGCGGGGGCCTGGGAACAGCGGCTGCCACCGAGCAGAACAGACAGGGGCCTGGACTCCCTGCTCTCCGCTGCCACATCCTCTCCATTCACATCACATGACCCACATTCTGTTTACAGTCTGAGTCCTTACTCGACGGACATGTAGCCAGTGAACATGCGAGCACTTGCTTTTGCTGTGTTGCAGGCACTGTGCTGGGTACTGGGGACTTTGAGGTAGGAAGATACACGAGGCTCCTGTTTTTAAGATTCCAGTCTATTATGGGGTCTACTGTAGACAATGAATAAGTAACATACTTCAGACGATGAAGAATGAAATGGCTCGAAGGTGACAAGGTAACGTGGTCTGGGGGTGGAGGGGTGGCTCCTCTCGATGGGGCGGCCTGAGACGGAGATCGCTGGGCGCCGTCCGTAACTGCGTCCTCTCCTGCCACGGCGCACCGTGAGGCTGCGCTTCCGAGTCCGGCGGTCAGGTGGGGCCACGTGGCTGAGTTCCGGCGACGCAGTGTGTGCTGGACCCTTAAAGCACCCCGCACAGCCTGTGCCATGGGGAGGGCCCAGCGGAGGAGCCAGAAGCCTTAGGGGGCGCAGAGCTGCGGAGGGAAAGAGCCTGAATGAGTGAGCGGAACAGAAACTCCTCCCCGACCCGCCCAACCCCACCAGCCTGCACGAGCCTGGACTCGAGGAAGAATCTACTGTGTTCGGGGCTGTTTGTCACAGCAGCTGCTTTGGTTCTGACTAATACAGAGAAAGGGGCCATAACTTACCATTTATTTAACACATTTTTTTAAGCGGCACAAGTGGAATTTGAGCCCTGTCTGGGCTTACAGCCACTGTGTTAGCCAGCTGTTTCTGAAAGGGGTTCTTGGCTCCCTCATGCTAAGAGCTGGAGTGACGTGTAGCATGTGGACACTGAAGCCCAGTGAACACGGATGTCTCGGGGCAGGTGGAGGAATTTGGAGGGCAGAGTCCAGCTCACCTCGTCTTTGAACACACGAACCATATTCTCTTAGCCACAACTTTACCCCCAGACTTGGCCCATCAGCAGTCCCCAGGGAAAGGAGTCAGGGATTGGAACAGTGACTTTTTTGTAGAACAGCTCAGAACCAGCCTGGTGCAGGGCAGACTTGAAGTCAGATTCAGTTACAGGCTGGCCCTAGCATTAGCTATGCTGCTTTAGGCAAGTTGTTTAACCTCTCTAAACAGGTGTGAAATAGGGACCAATACCTCCTCCTCTCAGAGATTGGGGGTTGAGGATGAGGTAAGATAAGGGATGAAAACACCCCTTAAACTATGAAGTGCTATTGAAATACGAGATGTGACTTCAGTTGTATAATTTGATATCACTCTCCTATTAATCAGGAGTGTTAACGGCAGCTACCATCACCTTGCCAGGCATGGTGGTGAGAGCTTTTCACATGGAGTCACATCTAATCCTCACATGCATACTGTGAAGTGAGTGATATTTACCCCCTTTTACAAATTATAAGGCTGAATATTAGAGATGGGAAGCACTTGCTCAAGTTTACACTCAAGCCCAAGCTAATCATGAATTGCCAGAGACAGGGATGGATTCAGCATTCTAGAAAAAAACAGACTAAAAGTGGCTGAAATAGAGATATGTCTCAGGTAACAAGTAGGCAGTCCAGGGAAATGGTAGCATATCTACATCATTAAGGACTTTTCTGTCTTTCCATCGTCCACCGTTAGTATGTAGGCTTGTTGGATCATGGTCACAAAATGGCTGCAGCAGCTCCAAGCATTACACCCATATTCCCTGCAGGAAAAGGAAGGGTGAAGGGAGCGTCCCCTCTAAGTCTCACCCTTTCTATTAGGAAAATGTCACCCAGGAGAGTTCTGTTGCTGTGTCATTACTTAGAGGTAGCTAAAAGAAAGAAGTGGCACGTAGGCATTGGGTGAGCTGATCCCCAGTATCGGTTCCTCGACAGAGGAGGGATGCCCAGGTTATTACCAACGGTGCCAGGCTGCCTTCTCAGCTCGCTGGGCCCCGCTGCCCCCTTGCCCTGAGAGATGCAGATGTGATTTTTCCAGCTTGAACGAAAGCCGCATCTGGGTGGCAATCAGGCGTGGACATCCCAAGCTCTGATCTCTGGACTCGAAACCAGCCTATTCGCGTGCACCTGAGCCTTGCAGGGTGGGAGGGCAGAAACTGAGCAGTGAGCGTGAGGGAGAGGCGGGCCCGGAGAAGAGATGGGCAAGGGGTATTTTTCCCCTTATTTAGCTCTGGGCAACTGTCATCAGAACCCTTTTTCTCATTTCCTTCCCAATGTAACATTTAACCTTTCTGTTCAAGCATCAGATCTGGCTGCCTGGTGTATAATTACCAACTTTTCTTCGCCTTCTCTCCGCCCCAGCCCCACCCTGAAAGCTTTTAAAACTCCCTCGCTGGGCACCATCCTTCTCCTCCGAGTCTCCAATTAAATTAAAAATAGCAGCTCCGTGGGGCTGCGCGGGGCCGTCCGCCGAACTCGGAACTGCTGGCACGCCGGGCCTGGAGGGGCGGCGCGTGGTGCCCGGAAGATGCCTGCCGGTCCCGGCAAGGCCTGGCAGCTGCTCAGGGCTGGGGGAGACCGATCGTCCGCCAGTGTTCTGGGGCTGCCTGCCAGGGGCAGCCAGGTGCAGGGGGGTGGGAGGCAGGGTCTTGGCAGCTGGGCTGGGGGCTGGGTAGGGCTGGCAGAGGGGACAAAGGGAAATGCCCCCGGGTGGGCCGTCTCCAGTTGCGAGGGTGCAGTCCTGCCAGTTCCTGTTGCCAAGGTGGGGGCTCAGCACCCTTGCATTGGGGTTTGGATGCCCGGGTTCCCTGAGATAACCCTGGTAAAAGTTTCGGGTTGTGCTGGTGCCGAGGACCAAGTCGAACTTAACACTGACCACACTCCTGGCTCCAGAAGACTTTTATTTTCTCTCCTATCTCTAGGGCTCCTTTCTTTAGAGAGACAAGTGGTGAAATGGACAAGAACATGGATTCTGAAGCCAGACTGCCTGGATTGGAATCCCTGCTCTGCTGCTTCCTGGTTCTGCTAACATCCCTTGCCTCAGTTTCCCCATCTGTAAAATGGGCACAATAAAGATGCCTGCTTCAGGGTGGTTTTGATGATTACTATACATATGGCTTTAATGAGTTAACATACATAAACCACTTAGCAAGTGCCAGGCACATAAGGGTTCGCTGTTATTATTTCTGAACACACCAGCCTCTATTGACCAAGTCCTTAGGCAAAAAACTAGTTCTTCTGTTTATATTTACTTGCTCACAGGTAGATAGGTGCTAGTGATCGAGGATAAACATCATGAAGGGCTGGTTTGCTTTCCTGGGGGAGGCATCACAGGGTGATTTCTTTCCTTGTCTGAGTGCTATGGTCTGAATGTTTGTGTTCCTACAAAATTCGTGTGGAGACCTAATCCCTATTGTGGTGATATTAAGAGATGGGGCCCTTGGGAAGTGATTTTCATGAGGATTCTGCCCTTGGGTATGGGGTTGGTGCCTTTTTAAAAGAGGCCTCAGAGCGCTGCCTGGCCCCTCTACTCTTGCACTACATGAGGACGCAGCACCAAGGTGCCACTTTGGAAGCAGAGAGTAGTTCTCACAAGACAGACACCAAACCTGCTGGTGCCGCCATCTCAGACTGCCAGCCTCCGTAACTATGGGAAATGCGTTTCTATTCTTTATAAATTGCCCAGTCTGTGGCATTTTGCTATAGCAGCAGGAGCAGACTGAGATACTGAGTGATGGGGAAGACTTGCATTCTTGACACAGAGGTACCGCAGGGGCAGGGAGTGCCTGGCGCAGGAGGAGGTGGACAGCCAGAGGGGTCTTCTGGAGGAAGTAATGCTTGAGATGGTGCTGGTCAGAGGGGCAGGACTTTGCACATGCTGTTCCTTTTGTTTGGGATGCTTGTCCCTGCTACCAGCCCCATAGTTGCCTCTGATGACCTGGTATGAGGGGCTGAATAGATGGGTCATTTGGAATGGCTGGGGAATGGGGGGCTAGGGAAAGATGAAGGCGATCGTTGGCAGGGTCAGCTCTCAAAGGACATCAGGTGTCACACCAAGGACAGAATTGTCAACAGAGTCATGATGTCACTTGAGGAAGTAGAGCTCTGGGTATAGCTTGGAGAATGGCTCAGAGAGGGACTGGACCACAGCAATACCATAAACCACAAAAACAGATATTCCATTAGACTCTAGGCTAAAAATCCTGCATTGTCTGGGACCTTGGTCCTCTCTAACTGGGGATTTGGTGTTGGTGATGCTCGGGGTAATGGTGGGTTTGAGGGGCCAGCGCATCTTCCTTCCTGTTGCCCAGCAGTTTTAGAGCCTGGGTGGTGGCAGGAGAGGCAGCCCAGAGTGCGGGGCTTGGAGGGAGTCA